TACTGAGAAGGTCCATGTACTTCTAAATAGCCCAGATGAGTGTAAGGATAAGCTTAATTACCGGGTGGTGTCCCCCCACTACCATTGAGTTGATTCTGATTCACAGTGACCCCACATAGGATTTCCAAATGCTGGTGGCATAGTGGTAACTGCAAGTTCAGTAGTTGGAAAACACCAGCCGCTCCATGCAAGAATTAAGGGCCTTTCTACTGCCGTAGAGTTAGAAAGTCACAGGGACAGTTCTATCTTTTAGGGTCACTATAATTTATGTTTGGTTTGGGTTTTGAAATCTGTACTTGGGCAGATAACTTCCCCCTTTCTCCTGGTAGGTTTTAACCACCGACTGCGGTTAGCAGTTCAATGTTTTACCGATAATACCACTACTGCTAAACAAACCCACATGGTTGCACAGCACGGTATATATTCTATAAAGGTGTCTTTCCTCTTGTGTACAAAATAAACACCTTAACATGGGTTGCGGGGTAACAGGGCACTAACCCACTCAAGGGGAGGCTATCATTTATATCTCCACAGGAGAGGGAAAGAGGGTCCAGATGTCAACCCGGTGCACCAAGATGTGAATACAACATCCCTGCTTCATGCTGGGATGAAGAACCAATAGAGAGGTTTTCAGGGCCGGCTCCAATCCCAACTATGTGCCCCCCATCCCACTCCTATCCCCTAAGAATGCACTTCAGATGACAGTATTGAAGCTACAGCTCAGGGACAGGGCCACTTCTGATCAGAGCACACAGGAGTAAATGAAGAGGGAAGGAGAGAGAATGGAAAAAACCTGGCCCACCAAACCCCAAAATGATATTCCTGCTCCGAGCAGCCAAAACACAGAGAGGACCACAGGACCGGCTCCACCACGAGACATAGACAAGATGTCCCTCATTGGGCTGATGGTGCCCGGCTATCAAAAGATATAGCGTCTGGGGTCTTAAAGGCTTGAGGGAAACAAGCGGCCATCTAGCTCAGAAGCAACAAAGCCCACAGGGAACAACATATCAACCTGTGTGATCACGGGGTGTCGAACAGATCACTGAAGACAAATGGGTGCATAAGCAAATGTGGCGAAGAAAGCTGATGGTGCCTGGCTATCAAAAGGTATGGC